AAAAAAAGAAAAATACACCATACATTAATTAATTTTTCAACAAATTTCCTACCAAAAAAACATTCATCAAATGGCGTGAATAAATTTTCTCACTTTATATTATATATTGATTAATTTATTTTCTATAGAAATAACCATCAATACCAAAAAAAATTTCTTCCCTTTTATACTATATATTATTTAATTCACATGATCTGAGTAATTAAAGTATCTTAAAATATGATTTAATTACTTCGTTAAATAATGAGCTGCAATTTCTATAAGCGATCGTATATCATAAATTGCTAAATTAATTTCCTAAAATAGTAAATAGTTATTTATTTTTTAAAAAAAAAAGTAATCAAACTTTTGTATAATCCTAAAGTGAAATTATAGGATTATTGGTAATATTTGATTCCATAAAAGCATTTCTTGTCCGAGTTTGATTATAGGATGAAATGCTTGCGAAACTATATCGGGTTTTCACATAAAAACGTCTGCTTGTACGGCGGCCCATGGTCAGCTTCTACACCGACCGGAAAACGAGAGACGTTACAGTTGACTCCGTTTCAATTCCAATAACAAATCAAAGGTGAATCGGGCGGAGTTCTGTAATTATTTTATTAGGGTTTTTACATTTGTTGCGTGCTAACTGTTTGATGAAATGCCCCTTTGGTTTCGCCTTTCTTGTTCATCCGTTGTTATGAAGCTTTCTTGCTGGGCATGTAGATTTATTGTTGCTTTTTGAAGAGAGAGCACGATGGATTGGGGTGCTGTGGGTCGACTTTGGGAAAATTGGGCACTGCACAATGTGGGCTCTTCAGGTAACCCTGCAAAACACACACACACACACACACATCTTCTATGAAAGTCTGCCCTTACAGAAAACATGTAGTAAGGACTTGGCTGAGAAACCCTTTTGCCGATTTTCTAGGCCGACCTCTGAAGGCGGCCCTTCTGATTAATTACGACCAAGCGGGGCCTTCTCGTCTGCTATCCACCATGTAAGAAGCCTTGTGTATAAATGTATGTGTGTGCGCGCGTGTGTGCATTCATGATGTTATTTTTATTTAGTGCAATAAGCTGTGTTCACTTAGATTTGTATACTATTGTACGAATGGGCATGCTGTAGTTTCTATGATCAGGCGGTGAGCTTTCATGAACTTGAAACGGGTGCCAGGTTCAGTTTTGAGGGACTAACAAATCGAGCTTGGATTTTATTTTCTTTTTTATTAGTTGTTATGGATCAGGACCCTCAGTGAATTCGGTTTAATTATTATTGTCTTTTAATGCACACTTAAATTAGGCTAATTGGATCCGCTTGTGGAGTACTAAGGACAAAAAACAGTTCATCAACTTCGGTTCTTGAGCCTTTTTTCAAGCATGGGATGAGTTTTGTGTTGTTAATTCACAGCAAACTAATAAGAATTTTTCAAGCTTGGATTAGTTCCGGCAAACTAATGGTCGTAAACTTAGAGCTCTTGAGCCTTTTTTCAAGACTCTTGAACTTTTTTTTTTTTTT